AAGTGCAGTCACTTCTTAGGCTTACATGATTGACATTATAATAAGCAGGGCCCATGGTGCCGTCTCGATTAGGTAACTCCTGAGGCCGTAGAGAACCATCTGGTGCTTCTTCATAGCCGTAGGCTTTGCCAGGTGATGGAATGGAAGGTGGATCTGCTTTTCGCTGGAATGTTATACGACTTGTCTTGAAAACCTTCAGAAAAAGGAAAATGAATATACTTTCATTTTATTGTTATGAGGCCAGGGTTCTCAATGGGAGCCTGCAGCCAGCGAATTTCGCAGGCTATTTCATGTGAACTCACCACCTACTTTTCTTTGGAAATTACCCTCAAAAAAGCCAAAATTTAATGATGTCTGTGTTCTGTTCAAACACTCTAATTTGTGTTCCAGAATGCTGGAAATGCACTCTGAGAGGCCTAGATTTCAAAATTTTTCCAAGGGGCATTTCCTGGACCCACTGGTAACTTTCGGCATTCACAAGACGCACCTGTTGTACAAGTTTTTTCCTTCTCTACCTACTCCACAGCTTTTGCCACCCACTTAAAACCTTATTAAAAACCACGTGAAGCTGTACTTGAACACTGGAGCCTGAGGGTAATTTCAATGAATTGAATTTACACTGTTTGTATATGTAGTTTCAAAGGTAAACTTATTTAAATGTTTGGTCTTTGCTGTTGTGTTTCAAATTATTTAAGCAAAACAAGCAAAGCCGCATCTCTACAAAAGTATTAACCTTAATTATTAAACGCCTAATAGATTAGCATCTATCATCACTGTCAAATCAACTGTAAGCACAAGAATAAAGAAATCGATAACCAATATTATCAAAAGACATCTTAATTTTTTAAAAAAATTCTCTCTATTTTTATTACAAAAAGTACATGTCATGACTGATACAAAGAATCTTCACATTGATCTGAGGGACCGAAGGGTTTGTTTTCCCAAACTTTCTGCTGTGAATGCACCATTCGTACAGTTGGTGAAAAAATTGAGGAGACAGTGCTCAAATGGGGAATTTAGGAGAACAAAACAAGCTACACCTGGAGTTTTCTTTAGGTTTTAATTAGCCAGAGTTTCCTGAAAAGTAGACGGTTGTGGTTCTGGGGGACGCATATGATGGGCTTTAGCCCACCATTTGTAGGGGGTCCAGGGGCATACTCCCCTGGGAAAATTTTTGAAAATCAAATGCTGGAAAACACATTTCCTGGCATTTTGGGCCTTGAAACTTTGACATTAGAGGGATAAATTAAACTGCCATATTATACCGTGAAAATCATGTTACTCAAAGAAAGACAAAGCCACATTTCAATAATACAACTGTATATAAACAAAAAGTTGAATGAGATTTTTTTGCTGGAGCTAAGGAGCCTGGCAAATGTTGCCACTTCACAACTTTTAAACTTGAGTTAAGGCACATACTTGAAGGACTAGACCAGCAAACATTTTTTTAGTTTCATGCTCGCACTAATTTTGCATTCATACATTGTGTATCTTGAAATCCAATATGGGATTTGAAAATCGAATGCTGGAAAATGCATTTCCTGGCATTTTGGGCCTTGAAACTTTGACATTAGAAGGATGAATTAAACTCCAATCTTATACTGTCAAAATCATGTTACTCAAAGAAAGACAAAGCAACATTTCGATAAAACAAATGTATGTAAACAAAAAGTGGAATGATATTTTTTTGCTGGAGCGAACGAGCCTGGCAAATATTGCCACTTGATAGCTTGTAAACTTGAGTTAAGGCACGTACTTGAAAGACTAGACCAGCAAACAGTTTTTTAGTTCTCTGCTCGCACTAAGTTTGCATTCATATCTTGAAACCCAATATGGGGGACAACAAATTATATTGTATGTACTTTCCTGCCACTGCAGCAAGATTTGTTGAAAAAGACAGTCCCAAACATAGCGTTTCCAAACTAGCTGTTCCCAGTTGAGTTACAAATCTTTTATATGTTTTCAGAAAAGATAGGCACTGCAAATTTATATTTTTAATGAGCGTAAATTTATACCTCCTTGCAATATCTTGACTCTTAAGTAATGAAAGTAGCTGGCGAACTTCACCAGCGGCTGGCTCTTATATGCATTTACAACCATGTGCACCCCTCCTCTCGAAGTAGATTTTTTTCTTTCTTTTTGGTAGCTTGAACAGCGGTGCAACATTACCTTGGCGGGGATGGGGAAGGAAATTCATTTTTCCTTTTGTAGTCAGCAAAATGGCAAAGTTTCTTGACTAGATTTGTCCCTGATTGTAGCTATACTCTACTTACTGATCCATCTTTCATTCCCTCTTGCATCTCTGGTGGCATTTCTTTTTGGACAAGCTTCTCCTTCAACCAATCACTGCGTTTTTGTAAGTTGTATGCCCCTGGTCCTGGTGTGTGAGGTTCTTTACCACTGAACCTGGAAGACTACAAAGTGAAAACATCTGGTAACATTAGGCATTGAACATACATGGGACAAAAGGCAGAAAAAGCAAACAATATGTAATCAGGCACAGATCCAGGATAAAAACTGACCAATTTCCTAAATGAGCACTGAAGCGCAAGCTTCTAGCGGGGTCTGAGGGTGGGCTCCCCCAGGAAACTTTTTTGGATTTTTTACTCCTTTAGTCCCCTCCTGGGTTTCCAAGTCATTCTGACAGGATATTGGCAGGATTTCAATTGCAACTTGGAAAGTGTTTTTCTTGTATTTATAGAACATTTATACTGTTTCTTTTTCACTTGATAATGATGTCTGAGAACTTTAAAATGTCGTATAAGAATATATTTATTATGAAAAATGTGACCGATTTCCATGAAATGGTGGAAACTGGTGTGGATCTACACCTGGTGATGAGTCAGTGACAACTGCAAGTGCAGATCTAATTGACCAATGGCACTGAGTGGCAGATTGAGCACTGGAATTTGCACTTAATCCTTTCCCTGTGCATTCTACATAATAAGTAATTACCCAGTCTGCAAAACCTATCAAACTCCACGATGTTTTAAAAAAGACTTAGTGACCTAGATGAAGTCTTAGTCAAGGTCCATAAAAGTGCAAAAAAAAAAGAAGAACAAGGTCAATATCCAGCCATCTTGTTGACTAAACAAGATTGGTAAATAAAGGATTTTTCCTCAGCACCAATCCAGGAAATTTGGTTCAGGCAGGATAGTCCCATCACTCATTTAACCACTTGCTCACTTGTTGATTCTGAGCCTTAATAATAATAGAGACCTTTAGATTCTAAGATGGGAACGACTACGGAAATGAGATTTCCTCAATACTGAGTATTGCTCGCTCGTGGACCAGTATCATTTTGGCAGGAAAAGGTGATAGCTGTCATCATTCTACTCTATGCATTTTAGCAAGAATGTTGTAGTGGCAGAAATGAGCTATCAAATGTGACAAGTTTTTTTCATTTTGCGATTTACAGTGCAGCGGGATTAGCCTCTTTTAATAAAGATAACAGTGCTAACTTTTCTGGTGAATCAAAAGTACATTGAAGCTTTCTGGGGTATCCATTTTTTTGAGAATACGCAAAAAAATTTTAAGTCAAATCTCATACTCGTAGACGTCCTTGTCCTCGAATCTAAAGCTCTCTAATGACCGTTATTGCACAGCACTGTACGTGTGGTACTTTTGACTTACCCTATTGGCTAACGTGCTTCCTCCTTTCACTCTTTCACTGATGATCCCAGGGTCATATTGGCCAGGGCCTGGGGCTGCCATGACACTATCACCTACATCAAGGAATGTCTCACGTGTTGTCATGGACAAGAATGGTGCATAGCCATCTAAGTGTAGAAAAATAATCGATATTACTCCATACCTCATTTAAATTTGCTAAAGAATCAAAATAAAAACAATCAAAATAGCAGTTAACCTAGATCAAATACCTGTATGTTGTCTTAGAGCGTAAAACGCTCTATTAATAAAGACAACATGCTCCCTTTAGTAGATTATAGTTTAGAGCGAATTATCATTATGAGTTCAACCTAATCAACCTTGATGAATATGAGGTACCGAATCAAGCCTTGGCCAAGTTAATAAATCCTTGAAATACCGTAAAAAGCTTAAACTTACATTTATCTGCCAACTGAGGACAAATCATCATCAAATCTAATCACCACTTTCAATAAGCTTTCAGACAGACTTTGGCTTTTTAGTCGATTTTACGACCGTATATTTATGTCAGAAATTGTTGTCTGTTATAAATTCAGCTAATTTTATGGTTTATTTACTGCAAAACATTTCAAAGGTCAAGAAAATTAATTGTATTGCGATCCGACTTCCGAAGTTTTTATTTTAACACTTGCAGTAATTCTTACCGTATTTTTTCGGTCCATAAGTGGGAGCTTCATATGAGCCAGGCCCAACACTTCCTCCAGTACTGTCAGCCGGTTTTGTTAATGTTCTTGGAGCTCGGTCGTACATTTTCGGATGCTTGACACTCGCGTTGTTCTTTACAGGCTACAGGGGTCCTTCTTCCTGCTCACAAACATGGCGGGTGGTTGTTATGGAAACAGCTGCCGCGGGAGACTGGTCACAAATAATTTTGTACCAACGGGAGAGGGGAGAGGAGAGTATATCGGAACGAGTACGTAACGAGTCATCCAAACGATTTCCATTTTCCATGATTTTCCTACTCAGATTCTCAATTACTTGTTAATTTATGAAAAAAAATTTTTAAGAGAGGCAATCACTTACGCAAGTGATGTTTTATAAACAAAAAGGCTTCTCCTTTTAGCTGGGAACGTCCCATAAAATACAAATAGAGTCTGACCTTTCCCAATGTTTCCAGTTTTACATCGCCGAAAATCTTCAGTGCGTAAATCCTGGGTCTGAATGGGTCGTAAGCCAATGCTAGAAACCACGATCGAGCTCCTTCGTTTCCCAGGTCAAAAAATATTACGACGTTTAATACTGCAGATCGTTGCGTTCGAAACTTCACCCGGGCACTGCGCGGGAAACCTAAGTGAAGGCCAGGCTACCACGCTGAACGAAGGACTGGAAGCATGTTTCGTCGACAGGGTTTTCTTCAGGTATCGCGAATTTTCGTTTCTTTTATTCAGAACTGCTATATCATCGTAATTCTTGTCTGTTTTTATTAGCTCAGGCGGATTGCTGCAAGATGCGAAGGCGAACCTCCGAGAAGAAGTGGAAAATGTGAGCTACGACTTTTACCCAGGAGTTAAGCTTGTTTAAGAAACACCCAAGTTCTAAAAAAGTATTTGATAATACGAAATTTATTAATAAATGAGGAAGGATCGATCTTAGTTCTGAAGCTATGGTACTGCTAGTTGCCCTAATCACCAGTTTCTGGGCAGCTAATTGGGATGGAATTTGACCATGGGGGAGGTTTGCAAGAGCCAGGAACAGAAGAACCGCTGGGCACTTATACTTACCATTTGGACCAGTTCAAGAAAGCGCTTTATTCCTTATTTCTGATTGGCCAACGCCCGTCATTTTCTTACATGAAGACCAGCACCTTATTATATCAGTCACTATATTGGTAGAGCATCGGTTGAGTGTCAATCGAGAGTCCAAGCTTAAGGTATCGGCCGTTACATCCACAGTGTCGGTGATATGGGGGCTCATACTTGGTGTAAAAACCTGTGAAACTCATGAGTGACATAAAACAATTACAGTAAAATCCCAGTAACTCAAACTCTGAAGGGAAACACAAAACCGTTCAGGTTAGTGGGCAATTTGAGTTATCCGAGTTTGAGTTATCTAGGTTCTACTGTAATACAAAGAAGCGACTGAGAAGTGAACACGATAGAGCCAAGGAAAATAATAGCTAGAAAACAAAGAAAACTTCACAGGTTTTTACACCGAGGGTGACCTGATATGTGGGTGATCTGTTGGTGATCCGCCAGCAAAGTAATGACCAACTGTCGACCAGTAGACTGTAGTGGCCATCTACCAGTCGAGGCTTGTTTCAGACTCAACCGATACTTGACCGACACTTGACCAAGATAGTGACCAATATGTTGACTGACAGTAGACCATGATGTCGGCAGGTACATCAGTCAGTGCCCCCTATAAGACACAGGATCCTCATACATTTGTAGCCATAAAAATAACAGTTCTGTCCTGTTTTGCTTCACCAGGTCTCAACAGTGTTCAGTTGATTGGTTATACTGGAAGTGATCCTCTCAGAGGCAGCACAGAATTCCAACCAACAAAATTCAGCTTAGCTACTACAGTTTATTATAAGACAAGAAATGGTAAAAGATATAAATACAGAGATTTTTAGCTTTCCTTGTACTCTATTTCTTTGTTACTTCTAATCTAATTCTTGTAACATTCTTTAATGATAAATGAATTTATATTAATAATTAATGTGTTTATAATAAGTCAATAGGAAAAGAAACTTAATTTAACAAATGAAGAAGCCTTCACTGTTCTCTGTTCTGTTATAAATCATGGAGGAAGCAGCTAATGCACCAAAGAAGTGTAGAGGGAACATGAAAGTAGTCAAGTGTTTCTCCCTACTCTTTGAGTGCTCTAGTCACTTCCTAAGTTCTTTACAACAGAACAGAGCACATTCAAGGCCTCTTTACTTGTTTTATGATAAAAAATCTGTTAAATTCCCCACACATTAATTTTTTATTTTGACAGCTGTAGCTGACGTGTTTTATACTCTCATAAAGCAAGCTTTTTCAACCAATCCGAGTGTGTGCCATTTCTGAAATTTATTGTAAAGTTTGGTAAGGCACATTGTGTGGATTTAATGGTTGAATCTTAAGACAAACTTCTATAATGTGACCATTCAAAAGAAACTTTGTTGTCGGTGTTTTTGCATGGTACTACCAGTAATGATAATTCGCCAAAATTTTCCATGAAAGTAAACTTAAGAGTTCCTTTTTTTCTCTTGACCCAGAGCAGTGTTTTATGGCAATTTCAAGAAAAGGCAATGTCCCCCTGTAAGGACATTATGACTGTAAAGATTTGGCAGTAGAAAGAAGATTTTAGCTTTCAAGATTATTTATTGTTTCCGTCCTCACCTTTCATGTTGGTTTTATTGGAAAAAATTATGGAAATGGTATTCTCATGGAATAACCTACAATCTGTGAATTCATTATCAGTTTATGAAAAAAAACTAAACAAATTTTGTGATATTGCAAAGTTGTTTTTTGGCAACATTCATGCCAGTGCCTATCTGATTTTCTCAAGTCAAGAAATTGAGCATTCACCATATTCAGCAAGTGGACACTCATTTGATCCATTTGAGATTGCATTAGACTTAAAGTTTGCACTACAATTAGTATAGGTAATAGCATGATTTGTACTGATATTTGGCATAAATACCACGAGTAATATTTCAAAATTGTTATATGTAATTTCACGAGCTGTCAGGCAAGTGAAATTTGAGACAATTTTGAAATATCACAAGTGGTATTTATGCCAAATATCACATACAAATCCTGCTATTATTTGTTTATACCACTGCCCGCAAAGGATTTGTAGTTTTCACATGTAGGTATTTCAAATTAAGCTGAAATACCACTGCTCTAAGCCAATCAAATTGCAGAAATTTCTCCTGTAGTAGTATAAATGCCAGAAAAACACACAAAATGGAAATGGAATATCAATGAATATAATTATGACATTGTACAAAATTCAGATTTCTATATATCAAGAGTAAGAACTGTTGCGTACAGAAAACACTGACTTAGGTTTTTCGGACCCTACTTATGGTCAAAGTTTAGCGTGAGCTTTAGAAGTGAGACATCTCTAAAGAGATTCAAAGGAAGTATAAGGAAAAAGGACTTGGGGGCAGGGGGAGGGGGATTAATTCATGGAGAAACGTGTAAGGGATGCTACTTAGGCACGATCCGTGTCAGTATAAAAGTAGCTGTGAAGTATTTGTAAAAAGATTATTTAGAAACCGTTATCTTATATAGTCGATCATTAATTAAGATTTGGATCGAACTGAATTTTTAGAAGCCAATATCTTTTATTAACTACTTTTAATAGCATTTATGTCAGTGTTAACAAATTTTGAAATAATTAGTTTAGCTATAGTGATAAATATTAATATTGTATTGTGATAACTAATTTTTAGGTAAAAGTGTCCCCGATTAGTGGGCCTCCTTAAGCATGATAGAAGACTTTTGACACTTAAATAAAGTTTGTATTGTATTATATTATTGTAAATGTTTTTGTTTTTGTTTTAAAGAAACACTTGAAAGCAAGACTGAATGGCATAACATCTCAGTTTTCAAACCTTCACTACAGGAGAAAGTTAATGGATATGTAAGGAAGGGGTAAGCCTGTTTTGTATTTTTAACCAGGTTATCCATACTCATCATAAGTATGGTGTCCTTAACAAGGCAGTGAGGTTTTCTTGCTCAATCTTTATTACCAGCTTATAAATTAAATAACTATGACATGTGAATGGAATGTAACAGGATTCATATGTGAAATTTCTTTCCAATGTCTTTGTTCAATTACATATACTGAATGAAAATAGCTACTTTTGTATAAACATCAGTTAGAATATTGCAAAATTATTTATTATCACGAAGACTTCATGTAGGTTGACTGTGAAACCCAGGAGCCTTCCAGTAAAAACCTTATGGAAACTATCTGGAAAATGAGATGTCCTGTCAGCAAGATTGCATTATTTTTGTGTCTATAACTATATAGTACATAATTATAGTTATGTTTATGTTACAGGTTACATTATTTTGATTTCAGGTTAAAATTTTTTAACCTAGGTTGATTCTCAATTTTGTTCATCTTCTGGGGCTAGGAGACAAAGACAATCAGGAATCCCCCTAGGTTAAATCAAAATTAACATGAAATCAAATTTGACCTGTAACATATCTATGGAATAGAGGATGCATCACTTAAACTCACGGTGGAGGAATTTTTTAAAAAATTGCTTCATTATTTCCTGCAGAACTCGTCTATTTGTTCAAGGATCTATACAATACAACAACTATGTAGATCAGGAAGGAATCAAGCGGTATAACACAAGTATCGTTCCTAGTAAGAGCTCTATCAACCCTTTAAAAAGTGTTGAGTGTGTGGGAATTTTAATTCTTACGCACATGAGGTGACGCATGACTTTTGAGTGAAACAGTGTCTCATCAAAGGTCAATTTGATTCATACAGTGCATGTAAGAATACAAATCTTGCACACCCTTCCTCTTTGTGTAAATTTGGGCTGCCTGTGACACTACTCCTTACACAGTCAAACCTCTCTATAATGTGCCACCTTGGAGACAGAGGTAAGTGGCCTTTGTTGGAACGTGGCGATTATGGGAAGGGGTAGGGATGTAATGTGATACCAATTTTTAGGGAGAGAGTGGTAGTGAAATAGGTCAATGAAACAGAGAGTACAATAATGTCCAGAACAAAAATATTATCAAAAGAAATTGGGTAAATCCTTTGTTTTTCGTGGCGGTTGTCGGTGGCAGATTCAGATCTTCAAGTAACTGAGGGGGCTCACTCTCTCAGACTTTAAGATAATAGTGGGGCCAGACCTCGGAAATAACTTTTCTCAGCCTATCAAGTTTCTGTTTGTCCTGAAACTAAGGTGGGGCCCAGGGCTCCACCCCCAGATCTGCCACGTGTTGTGGAGACATTATTTGAGCAGTTGGGATGCACTTGAACGACCCTTTCCATTGTGACCAGGTGGTCATTAAAGAGAGGTGAAAATAAGATTCAATGTATAGACTGCCCGACTGGGATATATAACAAAAGCCATTTTGGGAAGGTAACGTCCCTTGTTAAGAGGTGGTCATTATTAGAGAATGGACTGTATGTGACACAACTTGCTGCCCTATTTTTTTAGATACACTACCCAAAAACCAAAAACAAACGAACCATTGAAAATCCGAATAAAGTAAAGCTTATAGGTCTTACGTGCCAAGGACCAAATTAACATTACCCTGTGACAGATTTAGGGGTAATTGGTAGGTTTTGATCTTACCCCTAAGTTTAAACTGGAACTATTTAAAACTGGCAGACACAACAAAAACTGAGTAAAAATTACATTATGCAAAAATTTGCTGGCTTCCAGTGAGGAAAGGACTTTGATTTCTCCCTCAGACTGTGGAAACTACATTTCTGGGAGAGCAAGCCCTGCACACCTTTAGCAGTCATTCAGCAGTCATTTTTTAGCCCTCTTAAGATCGGTCTTATAAATGGACCCAACATTACCTGAAGTGAATGGTGTCGAAAGAAACCAATGAAGTTTTCTAATGTTGTAAGTTGTAAAACAAGGTGAAGGCTTAGGACATATAAAATTTGTATAACTTTGAATTGCTTTTCTTTGCAGGTGATGTTATAGTTCTTTCCCAACCAATTGCAATGGAGGAGGAACCTCATTTTTAAGTAGCCCAGCATACTATCATATGCCTAGACAATCACATATTTAAGAAAACATTTTGTGTTGTTTTTTAACGGTAAGAGTTGTAAAGAGTGAAAGAATGTTGTGAGTGACAAATAAGGATGTTGATGTTGATGTCAAAGTGACCAACTGGTGTAAGATTGTGCCCTAATTGTGCAATACACACGTGTGATTTCTTTCAAACTAACACAACCGTAGGAATACTTCTTGGCCCGGTTCCTGAATGGCCGATTAGTGCTAATCCAGGATTAAAATTTTGTTCCACGTTTTGTATTGACCTCCATATGCATTGTTTAGAGTAACATTTAGTGTTATCATTACTGTATCTCAGAGTGAAGGTTCAATAGTATTTGTAAGCTTGAGTTACAAGTTCTTAGAAGAGGAAACCGTTCTTAAAATTTAGCTTAATTTTAGGTTAAACTTAATCATCATTCTAGGAACCGGGCCCAGCTGGAATGTTATTATGTTTAAAAAAAGCCAGATGTTTTAGGAAGCTCTGCGTGGAGCCAGGGTAGAATTGAGATAATAAAGGCTTCTAAAACCGTTTCTAAGTAGTTGTTTACGAGTCAGGAGAAGCAGGCTCACCTCCGATGTAATATAGTTTATTACTCACAGCTGACGTAAAACAAAGAAAACAAAACATCCTTAAGAAATGAACCTAACCCTGACAGTAGTCCATAAAACAAAGAAAACAAATAGATTAAATTACACCGGGGATGGCCCGAAAAGAAGTGATTAGGATGAGGAATAGTTTGGGTAACTCAGAAAATAATGAAATTTGAACATATTCTCCAACAGTCCAGTGCTGCGAGGCTAGTTTTTTCTGTTACTGTATAAGACATATTTCTTTTTGCCGCTCTGTGCAGCTATAGCTATAGTGTATGTAATACTTATCTCTGTAATGCAAGAAGTTTTGTAATTAAACTATGTGTTTCATGCGACTGAAGTAGATAATAAAGTAATTTATATGTCGGAAGGAAAACGTCGTCTTCTCTGATTGTCTTAGATTCATTTTCTTCTCCTCCTAGTCTGGTGTTCCTTCCTGTGCACTGTATGTTAGCCTAGCCTGTGAGCAAGCTCTCCATATGGCTATTTAGGGAAGTCGCGAGAAGTCACTCGAGAGCAGCACGCGAAAGGAGACGCGAGTGCGAATGGCTCCTTTGCTCCGCGGCTCGCTCGCGCGTTCTCTCGCGGCTTGCCTCGCTCGCCAGCTAGCAGGCTAATGTTCTGTATCCAAACAACTTAACTAATTCACTGATCTCAAGTCATACAGTGGTTTCTATCCTCTCTTTTCTAAACTAACAAGGATCATATCACAGACGACTACTTTGAAAAGCAATATTAATTCTCAAGTAACCATCCAGACCGTGTGCTATCCTACGGTAGTATTCTTTTGTTAAATATATCTTACCAGTTATAACTCTATTCCAAACTATAAGTTGTTCTCTTAAATGTAAATTAAACCCTAATTTCAACTATGCATACTGTCCAACAAACCGCCATTTTTTTTTACATTTTTTCTCTACTCACTACCGACTGAGACTTCATACAGTTTGTAGAACCAAAAACGAGAAGTACAAAGACTACTGCAAAGCTGATTCATAACAACGTTGTTGTTTTTTTATAACAATATTTAGGCTGGCCATACCAGCTTTCTTCAGGTTTACAGATGTTACAGATGTCATTAGTTATGAAAAAAATAATACACGTTGTTATGAATCAGCTTTGCAGTAGTCTTTGTACGTCTCGTTCTTGTTCTTTATATTTTGGCTGATTAGATCTCTTTTCTAGAGATCCAACGTTTACAACTAGCAGGATCTTCGTTCATGGTTTTTGCAGTTAATTTAATTCTTTATTATACAGTTCATACTTCGTTTATGGGCTCTTCTTTATCTAATCTATGAAAACTTCTTTCCTATTGAAAGAGGGTCTCAATGGGGTGGTAGCTTTTACGGTTATCGGCTAAAATTTTGGCTCTTTTACGGCTATCGGTTAATTTTTTTCAGTTACGGTTAACAAAAAAGTTAAAAATTAACTTCTTTTGTTTCAAAAAGTTAAATATTAATCAAGCTGTATTTTTTGTATCTTTAAATCAAAATAAAGGTCTTTGGATCATCTCGGGATGAAACAACCTATTCTTTTGAAAAATTTTAACATTTGATAGATCATACTTTTTATAAAGTATTTCTCTGCTAATATAATTTTACACATAGAAATGTCAATAGTCAATTTAAAAATAATCTTTGTGAAAAAGAAAAAGCAGACACGCAAACGCCCAACTCAAGGCCAGGGCGCGACATTCATTATAACAGAAATGGCCGTCTTCACAATAAAGACGGATTATTTGTGGGAGACGGGTTATCCGTTTGATGATTCGCGTCAGATAGGTCATACTTTTCAATTCGAAAATGGAATAGTTTTAATTTTGAGTGAACAATCCGCCTGACTTTATCCATCAATTTCGACGGACAGTTTGAAGACGGGATTATCCGTTCCAGATAGCCTGTGTACAGCCGCCCCCTCCCCTCAGAAAAAGTCGGAGAAGGGGTGTCTGTGGAGAGGGCGCGACTGTACACAGGCTAGCCTCAGACGGATAATCCATTTCTAGCTCTGGCGTGAAAACGACCTATAACAAAATTCCCGTGTCCAGTGTTTTTAATGATAGCGAAGGACTGTATGGAACGACTGCCTGCCGTTGCCTTGTCCATGGGCCTCATTATTCCGCCAGGCTAATGCGTTTCGGGTCACGTGGTCCATGCGAGTTCGCCACCAAAATACCTTGACCGAGATTGCGTGGGAAGACGCCGTACAGGGACTGGGCATGGCAATGTCTACCGTAGCGTCAGAGGAAAACAGGGAAATGTTGTTCATCGGCAACGTGTTTTACAAACAGTGACATCTCTGCGTGTTGTTTCACTAGTGTTTCAAGGGCTCGACCTCCTGAAAATCGCAAATATTAATCCCCAGCAAGAAGCCACACTTTCGCTATGGAAAAAATTAGTTCCCCGAGAGAGCAGCGAAAATGGAACCTAGGTCTTGGTCAACACCTAAAAGGCGCTTCGCCTAACGTGCGTATGGAGTCACACTAGCCGGGAAATAAAAAAACGCAACCATAAGTGAGGGAATCTAGGGAAAAGTTTCTTTTACGGTTAACTCTTTTTTACTCTATTTACGGCTAACGGTTAAAATTTTTCAATTTTTACGGCTATCGACTAAAGTTTTGGCCGTTTTACGCCTATCGGTTAACCCCATTGAGACCCTCTTGAAACGACAACTTTAAAAGAAAGTTTTAGAGCCAATCACCGCCTTACCATGGAGCTGCTGGAGTCCTGTCATACTCACTGTAAAGAGAGACTACTGTCCTGTCGCACTAAAGAAGAAGTCGCAACACTGAATCCAAAAGTTTATACAAATTACACATTGAAATCTCTCGGTGTTCTGCATTAAACCGGGGTAAACCTGTCATAGTCTTTTAAAATAAAAATCGTTATCTCCTTTATCCACTCCAATAATGAACTTTATCCATGGAACTCGAGTAACGAACCTCGATAGCTGTTAAAAAGTCTAACGATTTGTGTTTCATCTCCAGCCACAAAAATTCCACACTCCTCTATTGACTTAAAAGTCATGTTTATGGTTTTTCCCCAATTTTTTTTTCTGTAAAAGTAAAACATTAGTACATAGATTATTTAGACAGTCAAATAGTAGTTCCCATGTTGATAGTCTCAACTTTTGACTTTTAATTTACTTCCTCTCCTCCCCTCTTCATTCTCTTTTCTTACCCAGGTTTTTTTACTGACCACTGCATTAATAGGTATTGTCCTCTGCTCTTTGTGGATCCAATCTAATACACGACGTTCATGTCACTTTCTTTTTCGTTGTTCTACATGCTCTATGATTCGGAATAATTTTTACAATAAAGCCAAGGCTCTGATTCCAATCTTTAATGAACTCAGTGATGAACTCATCTAATTACCTTATCAATATACAATTCATGAAATATGTTTCTGTTTGCTTTGATCTTCGTGCCAAATTATATCCAAACTAACTTTATTCGTCACATGATGAAATTTTTGTTCTTCTTCTTAATATAGCTTTTGTAATACAGTATGTACTCGTTTGGTTATGCAAATAAAGCTTCTTGTTGTTGTTGTTAAGATGGCTCATGAGAGAGATCAAGTAGTGGGCAAGGACCGTGAAGGAAGTGCCTAGGAAGCCTTCCACTCTTAGTGGCTTCCATCTTTACCACTGTGTGTACCGGCCTGCCTGAGAAGTTGATATATTTAATTTGTTACCGTACCCTTTGCTTCCCTGTGAGCAAAGGGTTAGAAGGTTAGTAGAAACTTATCAAAATGATTAAAGCCAAATTCCGAAAATTGAGTTTTTGATAGAAATATTGGGAAATTTTGGAAATGATACTTATTTCATCAAACTTAGAATTATATTGAGTGTAATAGCGTAATGTTCTGTGTTTATAACTTATAGCAGCTTATAGTT